TTTAATGTGCCATTACCGCACACACATTTCTATCCGAAATATGCTTATTTATGTCCCCTCTACCTACCTTTACATTTTTGACATATATTTTAGAACCACCCTGAATATATATATATATATACGAGGGTTGTCCATAAAATAAGGAAATAAGGTTCCCAAGGAACTGCGGACGCAAGGAACTCTTTTAGGCGAGATTTGGCGAGACTGGCGTGTAGCTTGGCTCCCTTTCTCCCAGTTCCCGCCCCGGCGAGCTGTCTACATCGTTCATTCTTGTCTTGGTAGCCATGAAAGATGGAGCTTCCATTTGTTTCTCACGCCAGGTACGAATTACGCTCTGTGATTCGTTTTTTGTGTGCAAAAAATGTTACTCCGGTGGACATTCATTCCTAACTGTGTGAGGTGTACGGGGAAAAGTGTATGAGTGAGCAACATATACGCAAATGGTGCAGAGAATTCAAAGACTGACGTCCATGACGAGCAGCATTCTGGCAGGCCATCGTTTTCGAACGAAGCGATTGCGAAAGTGGAAGAAGCAATGCTGATTGATCGAAGGGTGACGGTTCGGAATCTCAGCGAAGCGAGATGATCCTTGATCTTTGATGTCAGCAAGTCTTGCATTCACAGCATTTTGAGAGACCGCTTAGGATATGCCAAGGTGTGTGCAAGGTGGGTCCCGAAAATGCTGATGGATGACAGCAAACGGCAACGTGTGGAAGCAGCCCGCGAATTTCTTCATGCCTGCGAAACCGATGGCGAGGAATTTTTGGACTCTGTCGTCACTGGGGAACATGACATGACACCGGAAACAAAATAACAATCCCGTCAGTGGAAACATACAGGCTCGCCGAAGTCGAAGTTTAAGCAAATTCTATCTGACGGCAAAGTGATGACGAGTGTCTTTTGGGACAGGATAGGGTTGTTGTTGTACGAATTCCTGCCTACCGGCACAACAATTAATGCGGATAGCTACTGTCAGACGTTCAAGAACCTCTGGCGTCTGATTCAAAACAAGAGGAGAGGCATGCTCTCAAATGGAGTGCGTCTCCATCAGGACAACGCTCGTTCGCCCACCACCCGTGTCACAGCTGATCTCATCAACAGATTTGGATGGAATACTAGCACACACACCCCTTACAACCCAGACTAGGCCCCCAGTAGAGAAAGTTTTTTGAGCTGGAATCACGTTTCACTCATATGAATTCTCTAATGAATGATTACCTTAGCTGGCAACAATAGTTGATAATATGAATATTTGGTGAAGTTCTTCACCAAATATTCATAGTGCTGGGAATTTTTCCCTGGCCTGATTTGCCTCTCTTAGTTACAGTATTTTTTCAATTTTTTTTCTTCCCATTTATTTTGTTTTTCTTGTCTAGCTGTTAAATTTGTTCTTATTTTATTCATTCTCATCGGTTGAGTCTTGAGAACTTGCGCCTAGTTTTGAGCTCTTGAAATATTCCGTATAGTATTTTTGTGCTTATAATAGTATTTATAAGCTTAATGAATATTTTAGACAATGTATTTTCGTCAAATACTAAAAAAAAAATTTCTTATCTAAGTGTTTGAACTTTTCTCTTGTGGGACCCCTTAAACATGGAAAATGAAGCTTTTGTCTTAAAAAAAAATTTCTTACCTCCTAATCTTTTTAAAGGTGTTCGTTCTATAAACATTTTCCCTAATTCATTATCAGGTTCAAAATACTCTGCTGCCATACGAGTACGTACTCCGGTAGGGTTTACAGAGTTCACTCTTATCTAAAATTGAAAAAAAAGAAAGCTGAAGGAACAAATAATAATTTAAAAAATTTAAGCAGTTGAGATCATGTATCGATAGTAATGTAAGATTTTAAATTTGTTGAAATTTTTTTACAATTTCGGGATTGGAAAACTAATTGAGCGAATAATTTAACTCTTATTTTTTTCATATGGTTGTGTTAAACGCCTCGTGTAGCAACGCCTAAGAGATAAAGTAATGATTCTCTGACCATTAAGAGATAATGCTATATCGAATAGAGAAAGGATGTCTGAAATAATTGCCACCATTAATGTGATCATGAGACCACATTTATAAAAATAAGAATTTACATCATTATTTATCATCATAACTGAGGTCCCGATGCTGCTATTACTACAATAAAAGCTTCAGATGTCTTTGGAGACATCAGGATAATCACCATCAACATCAAGGAGATTATGCTTTAGCGACTATCACTGAAAGAATCTCTGATGCAGTTGCCACTATAACTGGGATCAGGATGCAGCGATTATAAGAATAAGTGCCGCTGATGTCGTTGCCACCATCAAAAAGACTATGCTATATCGATTATCGCTGTAATCTCTTATGCAGTTGCAAGCATAACTGAGACCATGATGCCGCTGTCATAAGAATAAGAGCCGCTGATGTCCTTGCCACCATCAAAGAGATTATGCTATATCGATTATCGCTGAAAGAATCTGATGCAGTTGCCAACATAGCTCGGACAATGATACAGCAAAAATATCAGAATTTTTAAAGCAGTTGCCACCATTATTGGAGTCATAATACCATAATCAAGACAGTGCGAAATCTCTTATGCCACTGCCACCATTAGTAGTAAATATTTTAGAGAGATCTATAAATTTATTTTCTAATTATTATTTTTTAAATAATAGCTTTAAATTGAAAAATAGAAACATTCACGATAAGACTTATAATAAAATTTAAAAAAATTTAATCTTCATAAATAGTTAGTAATTTTTAATCTCAGATTTAATTATCTAACTGGTTTTTCTTACACTCTACTTAAAATGTGATACACTCTCTGTAATAGCTTTGAAAAAGTAAAATACTGAATTAAATATATTAAAATAGAACATTAAAAAAAAGTCATGAAAATTCCATGGTAGAAAAATCAAATTACTAATGAAATCGTGATTTTGAGACGTAATAAAGAAATAAAAAAAATTAATAAATGGAGACAAAAAGGAAATTTTTTTTATTCGCAATCACAGCCTTTAAACCCCTCCTGAATACAAATAGAAAAGTCTGATGTCTAGACAAGCAGAAAATTCTACGAGTTGTTGTGAAAAAAAAGCGTATGAATCCATTATGTATTTTTCTGTTTTGAACGGATTAAAAGAATTTTGAATACTTGCATGCATATACGGACTTGTGTACTTAATATAAAGACTTATTAGCCCAGAATAATACTACACACATAGTCAAATCGAAAGACCAAATTAGGGATAGATAGTTCACAGTAGATTTCAGACGCACTACATCTATGCTTCAAAGCATTTGACGGGCGAAACCACTCGGCTATGATTACCTTTATTTATTCAAAACAAAATTTAAATGAAAAGATCATGTTTTTACAATAATAGCCAATACAATTGAAGATAAAGCTGGTTCATGATAACTTATTCTGAGAAATTTAAAAGTTGTAGAATTTTAAGCAACATGTATAAGAATTTACAAAACAATATAATATAAATGAATATCGCAAATATTTATTTACATACCCCGAAAATTTCAAAAATGATGTTGAAGAGAATAAAACTTGAAAATCGGGTTAAACAAGAACTACTTTTTCCTAAAAATTCCTCCTCAATCAATACTTCTTCACCAATACCCCGTCGTCTGTCTTCACTTTAACTTACCTTGTTCATCTTGTCCATTCGCGAAAAGAAACCGTTTTTACTCAGCATGATGGCCCATCTTGATTGTGTAACAACTCATATGAAAAATTTATTTTCCATGACATTGATTTCTCACAACTTAGTAATCCACAAAATGCCACAGATAGTAATCCGATCGACTTTTTGTAAAAAATGGACATAAGCCGTTTAAGCTCTTTTTCATGGTAAGAGTGCACAGTCAATTTTTACAAAAAATATTTTAAATCGCTAAAAAAGCAAACCTTATACTGTTAATTAATAAACAATTATATTAATAAACCCAAGAAACTGAAGAGGAAAATTATACTTCATCATATAAAATTTCCTTTGCTATTGATGAAAGTAGAAATAAAAGTCGACATGCTTTGAGAACTCAAATATGGAAGCCCCTCAAAGCTTACCGCAGGTGATTCTTCAAGAAACAAAACTGATTTGAAACAGAAACAATAAGTTACCAATGAAAAATGCTCGCCGTCGAACGGAAATGGAAATTTTGCCTTGATTCACCTACCTGGATGACTGCGGTTTTCCTAGTTTCGTTTTGTCACCATTAAGCACAAATGTTTCATACATTTTTAACAGCTAAATTTGCAAAGGTAATAGGTGCTCGCCATGTATATATAATTTTCATTTCCTTTATTTGAAGATTTAGAATCTGATTTATATATTTAAATTGTTTTAATCATTTGCAGTCGTATTAATTACGTAAAACTCTATCGCATTTAAACACAATTCGTTCTTAAGCAAATTTTAAAATATTTATAAAACCAGTTTTTTTTTGGCTGAGTAAACTGAAGCAATCCATGAAAAAAAGTTCACATTTATTATGCATTAATTATTTTTCTCATAATGTATATTTTATGTGCAACATTTTATTAGTGGAATATTTTATTTCATGCACTTCCCTATGCTTTTCTTCCAGAATTAAACAAAATAACTTTTCTATTTATCTTCTTTTTACAAGCTAGCCAGATGTATTTTCATGCTTCAAAAACCAGTCTTATAATGCAACATTTAAATATTATAAATAGCTATTTCACCGTTTCAGTTATTATTATTCATTCAGTTTCAGTTCATTTATATATTTCAGTAATCGGTAATTTCTACATGCGATTTTAATATTAAGAATACATCAGTAAAGGCTTCGTACATTATGAGGTCCGTATTCAGTTGCCATGCATCTTGTCAGCTGATCCACTGCCCCTTTACCTGAACTGTATACGCCAAGAGTCGGAGCTGTTCGGAAAGCGGCAATACTTGAAACATTAACAATCGAGCCTCCTTGTCCTCTTTCCTTCATACCTTTCGCCAAGATCTAGAAATTATGAATACAAATTGAAATGAAAATCATTAAAATTTAAGTAAGTTTAAAAATTTACTGAACAATATAACATTAATAGATTCTAACTCTCGAAAAAGAAATAAAGGTCTGCCAGTTTTGTGTTCGTAAATAACAAATTATAGTTATAGTAGATGGTCTCTTACACCACACATGACGTAGCGTAATCATCACTTTTATTACTTGCATTTTAAAAATCCCTGTAGGAAATGAATTATAATAATGAAAGAAAACATTGCCTAATATAATTAATATTATCTAATGATATGATTAATAGTATCTAATACCACTCTTTTCATACATAGAAGTGCTAAGCAATCACTCCCCTTAATGTGTGGTTAAAAATTCTTAGTGAAAACTGAGGCAAAATATTAAAATAACAAAAATTCCTTGCAGAAAATGATGTGCAACAGAATACTTAATCAAAAATAAATATTTTAAAAGCAGCGATGTCAAATCTAAAACAAAAAACACCGTGTGCATATTTTTCAGAAGAAGTGAGGAATTCTTGAAAGCGATAAAAGTTTATAACGAAAGAGATATGTCCCACTCTTTCCTTTTAGGTGTGATAAAAGTAATATTATGTTTTTTTAGTGCACTTAAGGAACGTGATATTTGTGGTTTTTATTAGTTCTCCGCTTATTGGTTTGCATATGTAGTAAATTGATTGAAATTTCAGTTGTAGAAAACATAACGATAAATTCTGGTCACAAATTTTAAGAAAAAAATATCAGTGACCAAATATTTAAGTAAGGTACTTCAATGACTGAATATAATTTTCTTCCACAGTTTCATTCGCTCATACAAGTAACGCATTTTTTTTTCTTTTAAAGCTGTTTTCTTCTAATGAGGAACGATCTAATAATTACGCGAAAAACTGGCTACAATATTTTTTAACACTGTTCTTTACACTATTATTGAAATTGGTAGACCATACAAAAGATTTATCTTGAGAAAATATGTAAACAGGGAACTTGTTCTTTAAAATTATTAGAAAACGGTCTTATTCATTAATAAGCGATACGTTAATATCAATTTACTAAATTTGATAAACTAGTATTTAAATTTTTTACTTCTTAGTCCTAACCCTTTAATGAACACCAAATTCGGATTGTAAATTTTAGTTATGCAAAGATTTAGTTTGTTACTTGAAGAATAGTGGTAGAGAAAAAATGATGAACGTTTAGTACTAAATAGTTTTACATTTCTAGTGGTATGTAACATTTTTGAGTTAAGTGTTGCCTGACTGGCATTATTGCACCAAAACGAGTTAAAGTAATTGTAATAATTTCACACTTATCTCTGAAGCTATAATACCACGCTGAATTTTGCTTGTAACGTTAAGAAAATTATTACATTTTGTATTGGCGTCCAGTACAAATCTTCAGTTCTCTGATGACAGATCTTCAGTGCTCTAGCTCATCTTAAATAGTAGGAATATCGTGGAGAATCATGCTCGTAGCACTCAGAAATGTGTTTAAATAACGGTCATCGTTAAAGGAGTTCTTAAAGGGATATTGAGTGGTCTCGCTCGTTAGAAAGTGGAGGAAATTAAAATCTGCGGGATCTCATCGGTGCATAACGATAGCAAGTTCATACAAAACAGACTTGAAGAATTGCAAATTAATATTCAAATAAATAAGAAACCAAAATACCATGTTTTACTGTCAAATTATTAGTGAGGAAGCTGGATAAAAAAACAACCTCGAAACTAGTTTGATTTGCCAGAGCAAAACTTGTGTTTCTAATGATCAACGTTGAGCTTTTTCATTTCTGGTGGTAATAAAATTGATTTCGATGCTTTTCGCCTTCCTCAATAGCTTTTAGTGAGATTTTGATTGCGTTTTTTTTTCTCTCTTCAATATGAATTTTCGACGCTAAATTTAGATAAATTTTAGCAAGTATTTGGATTCTAAAAATAAGTGGCAAGGATGATCATGGTGGAACACCAAGTACTTTATCATCTTTTCAATACTAAATTTGGGTTTTTTGACTAAGATTATACAGTTAAAACATAACTTGAAGTTAAGAACTTTTTAATCTCAAATATCATCGCATGTCTTATATTCATTATTATTTTCTAATGATTAGAAAGTAGTATACCATTTATGGGGGATAAAGTATTGTTAAACAATTTATTGAAGCCAGTGATGCTCAATTAACTGTGGTGGGAAGCTGTAGGTAATCAGAGTAGAGTATCTAATATACTGAGGTTCTAGTATATGAGGACTGTGGTAATGGGTGTACTACGACTCCCGGAGAAACAGAATACTACCAAATTGAAATTAAGTTGTTCGTCTTTCGTTCACATTTTCATTATTTTTCCCTTTTTATTTAGGCGTCAAAACATTTTGCTTCAATTTGCACCACATTTGTAACATTATCCATCATTTCTATGTAACATTATCTATATTTTCTAGTTGCAACATTATTTTTATGTGTTTATATTATATTTACTATACAACTTTTTTATAATACATTAATTCAGCACAAGATTCCCATCAAGCTTTGTCTTAAATATTTGGTGCTTGTTAAAAAAAATGTTAGCTGCATTCTGAAGAAGTTGACAATAAGAAAAGTTCAAAAAACAAACATATTTAAGCTGAATAAAGTACAGTACATACTGAATTTGGGAGAAAAATTAAGCATCCAATACATAATATGAAAATAATATTAAAATAAAAAGCTTAATTACCTGGGTAATATTTATGATTGCTTTCACATTGATATTGTATGATCTAAGAAAGAAAATAGCACATTAATATTTTAAAACTCTTTTTCCTATTAAAAATTATAATAACATAAAAGAGTAACAGCTTTTGGTGACCACCTTAGTTACTTTCGAATTAACAGCTTTGCAACTCTTTACTGCATTTTATGTCAATATGATAATATGAAATCCAAAAACCTATTATACTAAAATCTTAGCTCGATTATAATTAGATTAGGGAATAGAACGCTTGCCTCCTAATGGAGTGAACTAAGGTTCGAATTCCAGCGATGGCTGGTCAATATGAACTCCGCATATGTCTCACACAGTGCTAAATGACCACAGGGCTAACGAAAAGTAACATAAATGGTAGATGAATCATGGGTTTGAGTCCCCTTGTCGTGAGGCTAACTGTGAGAGACTTTGATGGTTTTCCTTTAAATGTAACGCAAATTTGCGTTAGCACTATATAAAGGTCCTCCACGAAGGCAAATTTCACTGAATACTTGATCTAAGGGTTCTCTTGTCTTCTGTATTGAGTTCAAAACTAAATGGCTATGGAGTTGAACATTAGTAATCGTCGACTCGAAATTGGGTCGGCTGTTCAACGACGGTTAATGAAAAAAAAATCAGATTTTCTACTTTAAAATATAATATTAACCAAAATTTCAAGAGTAGTGAAACATTTAGGAGCTCTAGTTGGAAACAAAAATCGCTCATGAAGAAACCTAAAATCTGAAAGACTCTGGATTACTTCCAGAAAAATAAATTTTAAACACTGGCTCTTAAGCAAGAAATCAATAATTAATTAACTGACAGAACTTGGACTTATACAAAAGATAATAACGGAAAATTTTATAGGATGGCAAAGGTTTTCAAAAATCGAACTTAATTGAATAATGATGAACTTCAGTGAGTGCTAAAAATTAAGATAAAAACGTATATAAATCCGAATATCCTTTGTATTGTAATGGACTGATAGTAAAGACACGGTTTTCAGTAGAATATTGAGATCAAGCTGGCTGCTGTCATTAAGCGGATGGTTGACCATTTTGATCAGCCTGCTTAGGGAACGAGGCTGCACGATATCGGTTCCCGGTAAACTACTGTTCAACCGTAAAGTGCTCGACTTTGCAGGCAGGTCGTCGGACTACCATAGCGGAGGATCCATCCCCTCTTGTAGAGGATTAAAATTGTGATGTTCTGTCTTTGGATGGTATCCCTAGAAATGTTTCCCAAGCAATTGTCAATGGCCCATTGTGCAGCTCTTGTCCAATGTAAATATAATACTTAATGCCGAGCGTTCTTTTAGTAAGGACCAAATGAAAGTACGGTTAAAAAATATATAAAGTTTGAAAACTATTTAACGATAAACAAAATCCGTCTAAAATTTCGAAATTTGCGTTTTTAAGGAATTGTACAAATTCAGCAACTTGAAAATTAAGCACTCTTTTGCTTTTACAGTTTTTATTGTTTCAAAGGCATAAAGTGAACTCACTCGTCAATTTCCTCTTCCGACAAATCGCCGAACTCTTTGTCTTTTGCTATAGCTGCATTATTAACAAGCAAATCAATAGGTTCAAGATCGGAAATAGTGGTCTTTGTTTTTTCCCAGTTACCAATATCCAAAAGAACAGTCTTTATCTTATTATTCTGAAATTAAATCATAAAAAATAATACATTAATAAAGCAGAAAATATAGGTGATTAGAATTAATTATTAAAATACAATAGAATAGATAGTATTGTATAGATACAATAGATAGTATTGTATAGATACAATAGATAGTATTGTATAGATATACTTCAAAGCATTTTCACTAAAGAAAATAATAAGTCACTGTTTGAGTTTCTAAAACTTTAATGCAAAGTTTTTACGCAAATCTTTAATACTTATACAAATACATTTATAAAAACATTTACCTGGATTTAAATTCCTCCCTTCTCTCCACCAAACCCAAAATTTTACCGCTTACTAAGAGGAGGGTGGGTACTCAATTGGTGTTGGCGGATAAAGAGATTTTTCGGGTGTACGGGCATTGAAGAATTATCAGTAGTCTTTTTTGTACTACACTATAAAATTTTTATTTCATATCTTTTAGTATTTGTATAATCCTTTGTCTTATATTTCTACTTAGTATTTTCTTTATTTTCCTTTTTTGTCATGATTTCCTTTCGTCATGATTTTTTACTCAAACAAGCCAGAGAAACATGCACTAAAAATTTAGGCTACGATGCATAGAAATCATAATTTGCATCAAACATCATTAATTTTCATTATCATTTTTATCAGGATTCTTTTTTAATAAAAGTTTTTCTCTGTGCTGTTTTATTATTTTATTAAACACGCCTGAAGATAACAAGCACGTTTGAGGTAAGAACACAATAAGTATTTTAGTATCAAATTCATGCTTACACATTTTTCTAGTTCTTCTAAATCTGAATGAGTTCTACTGACTGCGATCACCTCCGCACCACATTCCGCCAATCTAATAGCAACAGCCTTTCCAATACCTAAAAAATAATTAACAATCTAATTAATGATTATAAACTTAATGATACATATTTACAATCTTGTTTTGTTTCAAAAGAAATCTCGAAAAATTCATATAAACGTCTACTTCTATTATTACTTATTAAAAGTATAACATTTAAACTGATCAAAAAAAAAATGCGAACCAGTGCATTGGAAACACAACTTATGCTTGCATTATGGATAATCTATTAACTCGTTTTAAAGCGTTAGTATTAATTCTGTCTCATATTCCAAAATTCAAATCTCAGATTTTCATGAACAAAATTATTTATAATAAAGTTTTTAATAAATGAAATTAATAATTACAATGAATTTCAAACTTAATACACTATTAGAAATTTCTTTGACAATTTGATATATTGATTTGACTATTGATTTGCTATATTAAACAAAATGTCAAATAAGGATAAATAAGATGGTATTCAAACTGTTAACTGTGAGAAAACAGTTTATTAACTGCTTTCACTTAGTACGGTTAAACAACCAGAATTCTTTCGTTCTAACTCAGGGCTAAAGAGAATAGAAAGGCTGGTTCATTCCTTTGAAGTAGCTCTCGCCGCTCCAATCCTCCGATTTTCTCTAGTGACGTCACTTTGGCTCAAAGTTCGCACTTTTACTTCAAGAACGAAGCGTTCGGCCTTACTAGCTCTAACTAATATTGGAGCATTTTTTTGCGCGATATTCTAAGACATTTGTTGTTTTCTATAATGACTTTCCTCAGTTTTTGCAGTGAATTTACAAGAATTTAAAACTATTATCGAAATGCCAGTTTGCGCGATTGCAACTTGCAAAAATTCTGATATAAAAACAAAAGGAAAAAGTATAATTTTTCGCGTGTTCCCTAAAGTAAATGAACAACTATGTAAAGAATGGATTCCAAAATGACACAGCTAATATAAAACAGCAATGCGTTTATTCTGTCGTTAAGAACTTTTATAAAAATTCATTATCTAAATAGAAACCGCCTCGTTTCTTCAAAAAGAAAGGCAGGTGAAAAAAATTAAAGGATGGATAAAGTCAAAGAAAATTGAAATGTAAATGAAGAGTAAAAATAAAATATATAGTATATAGTTGGAATTCTCCTAATTTCATACCATTTTTTTTAATGTAGTTATTCTAAGTATTTATGATTTTTTTTTAAAATTATATTCTCTTAAATTTAAATATCTATAAATTGTACCATCGTAAATTTAAATATTTATAAACAATTGTAAAATTTCTAATGTCATTATGAACCTAAATTATTATTTTGTTTCAGTAATTAGCGTATAAGGTTGATGTTTCCTAACAATTAAGTATGAACAAATTGCTATTAACGGCATATTTTAAAATTAGGGATTCTATATTTAACTCAACTTATTGTTATAAAAGAATATGTAGATAAAAAAAGTGTCGATACATGCTTTCATTTTTCTTAATAATTAAAGATAAAACTGAACTTTTTAAAATAAAGAATTTATAGTGTCATTTTCGCCAACTAGCAAAACATTTTTATAAGTTTAAAATGGTATTTTTTTTTTATATAATGGCCGAGAAAGTTTTTCTGAACTATGTTTATGAACGGAAATAATGTGTTAATTACGTAAAGTTTGAAAGCTAATAACCAGAAAAAGTCTAACTTATTTTTACAAAGAGAAAGATGCAAAGTTATCATAA